CTATTTACATACTAGATTTCCCATTTAGTCACTTGTTTCTCTTCACCAGTTTAGCCACCCGCCAGGTCTGTTCTCTCCATTTACTTGTTAGGTTTCCCATTCAGTCACATTTTTAGTTTCCTTTGTCCCTAATATTGTTGCTATCTTTATTCTTCTAGTTTTACTTTCAGCTTCTCCCATCTTTCTATTTATTGACTTCTAGAGACAAGTTCACCTATCAGATTTCAAGCCCTTAATCCAACATAGCTTTGAATCGTATTGGTTTAGACACCTTCTACATTTGACATTACCCTCATAAACTCCTTACTACTGGGATCTTCAATCATATAATCATATCATCCTTAGAAACAAATTTACCCCTTCCCCACCTTTTTTTACCCTCTTGCTACTTCACTGATGATTCATCCTCGTGTATATTCCTCTCATCTGCCCTATTATTGGACTTCTTTCCACACAACATACCTTCTTTACCTCTCTTCTCTCTCTTCTACTTGTTTTCCTCTCTATTTCTGTTCATATATGGTCATTATTGGTCCATTTAAGATAGGCTCTAAAATCCAGCCCATTGAGGCATCTTAGTTGACCCAATGAGCTCTATTGGTGGCCTATTTTGGCCTAACTTCAATCTGGCCTGTGTTAGCCCAATTTCTTTCTTGTACAAGCCCATAGAGGCTCTTTTCGTTTTGAAGAAGCAATAGGTTATTGTCATTATGATCTACGATTGTCATAGCTAGCCATCCATTACTTGCCACACCATTTTCACAGTTAGATTGTTTGCTACATTGTCATCACCGCAACTTCAAGTTTTGGATATATGCACATCGTCACCTCCTTAGCACATCATATCATAGCTAGGAGATGCAAACACATCATCATTATTGTAGCAAGGTTGAAGCAATGCCATATTTTAAGCATCCTTTGAACCACAAAAGGACTTGAAGGGTTGGAAGCCATCACCATCAACTTACAATTGCTTTTGGTCAAACACATGATGATCATTGATCCCCATGTGTTTAAGGGGGCATATTAAGGATATGGATTGAGTTTGTTATGTTATGGTAGAGTTTGAGATGGATTGAGATAGACTATGTAGAGTCCGAGATAGAGTCTAAGAGTTTGAGTTTGACTTTGAATAGATTTGATCTATTTTAATCTATAAATATGATGTAATTAATATATCCAAGCAATGCAATGTTTTATTGACCTTCTTTGAAATCTAACAGCTGCCCACCTATGAGATAAGATCAGACATCTTCAGATTCGGCAAAAATCAATTTCTACATATTTGTTTGCAAAATTAAGAGAAATATACAGTTATAAAAAAAACTACAATTGCAGGGGAGGGAGATGAAGGAAGCAATTGTTTACTATAAAAATAGAATATTTCATGGCAAGAAAAGCTTCTTTCTTTTCAAAGGACAAGGAGGAAAACTCACTCTTCCTCTAAATTTGCATTTTTAGACTGATGGAGGATCCCTTTCCTATTGTGTATTGGATAAATGCACATCCTTGAAGGCATTACAAAAGTCATTGTTAACTGCATAATAATTTTGAAGTGATTCAACTAACAAAATCAAGACTTCTAATTTGGGGGGAGGAGGGCTATTAAAATTTCTCCAACCTAAATAGCTGAAATATAAGTTCTCTCTGAAATAAGCAAATCGGCCAAAATTGTTAACTAAGGCCAAGGGGATTAACAAGTCCCTTTCAGATCAAACTGAAAGAGTAATCAACAAATACCACAAAATGGGAAAGCAATGAAAAGAAAATAGGAACTTGTAAAGTTCAAACCCATAATGTAGAATTATAGATCCTGAACTCTCTTAATAATGTCCATTGTATCTAGAACTGCAGGCGTATTAATTAAATACATAAGAGATATCAAATAAGGAGAACCTATAAAAAATGTAAGTAAAAAAATCTATCAATGACTCAAGTCTAGCCCAAATAAGATGATAAAAGTCGAACTTTTGAAGTAGGAGCAGAAGAAAGAAAAGAAGTAGGAGTGAAAAATAAATAAAACCTTAGATGCTGAAAAGAAATTACCTATGAAGGAACAAACCTTCTTCAAGAGCACACCTTAGGCTCAACTCTTAATGACCTAAACCCTCGCAGGAACCATAATGTTTCCCGGGGCAATTAATCAATTCTATTCCCCCAAAACAAATGCTTCTCCAACCCATAATTTTTGTCTTTCTTCAGTCCCCTTACATTAACCAGGATTCTTGCAGAGGAAAAAGAGAACCCTTCTGTAGAATTGAAAGAGAAAAACAGCCAAAGAAAGGCAATGGCCGAAGGTCATGGAGATATGACCAGCAAGAGGATTCAAGATCTAGGTTTCTGTTTACTCTTTGGGATTTTGTGAATCGCCATTGACGATTGAGATAATCAAGAAGCTCTAGACAATGAAAAGAGTGAGCGCTCACTCCAGTATATTCATCATCATTCATAATTATGCCAGTCCACCAGAGAGAGAGAGAGAGAGACTGACAACATGGATACATAGCACTAGAAGAGGGTTGTGATGGCTGCCATTGGCTTTTTGGGGGCCTCAGTTAAAACTGTTGGTAAGAAAATGAAAATGAAATGGCTAATGATTCAAGAGTAGAGAAGAACAAAAAAAGAAAGAAGACAAAATGGGAGATCAAAGAACGACGTCTGTGACTGCTCTCAGCAGTGGTAGCTTGTAAGTTCAAAAATGAAAATGATGGAAGCCAAAATAAATTTTAGGTACCAAAATAACTATAGCGGCTAATACATAACCACCACTAATGTACGCACTACAGCAAGACCAATAATTTCGACCAATAGCGACACTTTTTGTTAAATGCCGCTGGAAGGGAGGTGTATGGAGGCAGATTTATTTCTATTGCAATGAAATCTGCCGCTATAAGACAATATTGTTGTAGTGATTTTTGAAAATTTAATGAATAGTCAAGGGAAAAATTTTTCATTTATTTCTTCTTCATTAATCTTAACTTTATTTTTAAGCCGTGTTGGAAATCATATGATATTTTTAAGTAATTTTGTGAATTTTTTTTTTTTTTGCTGCAAAATATAATTTAATCTATTAGATCACTGCAAATACAAGGAGGAGGATTTTCTTTCTAGACTCCATAGTTTTTAGTCCCCATACTCCATGTAGGAACTTTATGAGCTAGTACATTGATGCTTCTTGTAACATGGGAGAAAGACAATAGGTCATGCGGCTCAACAATATTCTTTGCGTTGCTCAACAGTTTCCTCCATCTCCATGGTATTGTTGACCTCGAACCTTGCATGTGTGTAATCACCTTGAATTTGAATCCATATCCCACAATAATCGATTGTTGTCTCCTCTACCAAAAGTAAAGCTTGCATTTCTGTTGTTTCTGCATCCATTGCTTCGATAGAACAAGCTCGTACAATGAGAAATTTCCCCTGGATAATTATCAATAGCCACATAGGCCACTGCTCCAAGTCAAATGAAATGCACCATCGAACCAAATATAGACATCTACTCCATGATCCTCCCTTCGCGGATGACGCTGTGCAACAACTTGGTTTGTTACAGTAGGAGCAACCCAAAATTGTATGTCTTGCATAGATCTCTGAATTTGTTCCACAACCTCCATTGGTTGAACTTGTTTTCCTTTGAATTGCTACTCGTTCCTTGCCAACCAAATTGTCCTATTACCAGTGCACTTACCTGCAGCAAATTAACTCTAGTTTGGTCCTTATAATTAGTATATATAATCAAGTTAAGATCACACTAAATCATCATGGGTAGTTGTTAGCCAACCAACCTGATAAGGATGATTACTAACCACTTGCTGCTGTTGTAGATAACATCATTATCTCTATATCTCTGTCTTTATCTTCTCTATATCTTATCCCTTGTAATCTGCAACTGCTTTTATCCTTCTTGATGTATATATACCTCTATCAAGTTCAGTGAATAAAACAATTCATCCGACCAACTCTTTTATGGTATTAGAGCCTAAGCTATCAAACCTTCACCGACCATGTCTTCCTCTGTCAATTCTCAGCCCAACCTCCAGTCTCAATCCCAAAATAGCAATCCAACAACCTCAGGCCCTATTAATCTCTCCTTCAATGTCACCCAATTGATATCAGTCAAATTGGATCGCCACAACTACCTACTGTGGCGATCTCAGGTCTACTCTGTAGTGTATGGGCATGAGCTATTCGGTTACATTGATGGCTCATATTGTTATGGGCCCCGGGAATAGGATCTCGTCACGGGTCGGTCCACGGGGAAAACCTCCTGTTTTCCCTTGTTCCTCCCTGTTCTTGATGAACCTATCTTGGCGCCCTAATGGTGATTTGTCCAAGAGATCACCAACTCTCCTTTGCTCTCTTTCTTGACTGAAATTTTTGATGATTTTATTCAATATTCTTAGCTCCTTAAATAGGAGGTTACAAGAGATAAGAGTCCTACTTTTAGGAAGACTCCTTGCTAATTAGGAAGACTCCCTATTAATCTATCATATTGAACTGATAAGATAAGATAAGACTCCCTTAATCTATCCTATTGAACTGATAAGATAAGATAAGACTCCCTACTAATCCATACTACTGAACTGAATAGATAAGAACACTGAATAGATAAGACTCCTACTGAAAGCAAATAAGGTAAGAATACTGAATAGATAAGATAGGATGAGAACACTAAATTGCTGCTGCTGCTGCACTAAATTACTACTGCTGCTGCCGGCGCCCACGTCACATATCCATGCCCAGCCAGACTTTGACTAGTAACATCATCATTTGCAATTCCAACTGAAAACTTAAACTACAAAACATGGTGGATCCAAGATCAACTTCTCCTAAGCTGGCTCATTTCATCTCTCACAAAGCATGTGCTAGCCCAGGTTGTGGGTTGCACTACTTCTAGACAAGTGTGGTCAATTCTTGAGACTCTGTATGCTCCAAAATCAAAGGCTTGCATCATGCACCTTCGATTTGAACTCAATGACCTCAAGAAAGGAACACTGATTATGGGTGATTATCTTCTAAAGATCAAGAATATCTCAGATGCATTGGCTACGGCTGGAGAACCCCTATCTGAATCTGATCCCATATATCAAACATTGGAGGGATTGCCAAGTGACTTTGAGCACTTCACTACTATTGTACTTACCAGACTTGATGGTTTCTCATATGATGAACTGCAAAGCCTACTACAACAAGAAATCAAAATGCTGAGAGCATGCAACAAGATTACAGACTTCAGCCTTGATGCTTCAACCCACCTTACTTCCAAGGGATGGACATTCAAGAACAATAATCAGCCTAGTCGACCACCTCTTAGTGACAAAGACAGTGAGTACAGAGACAAATCACCTAACAAGAGCACTAGAAGATACAAAGAGAGCCCATGCCAGATCTGTAATCGTCCTAATCACTTAGCTCTCACCTGTAAGAGTTGCTTTGATTCCTCCATCAAATATATACCTCGGAAACCTTCAACTTATATGTCAGAAATTGTAACCTCACCTCCCTTAGCAGATCACTCATGGTATCCTAATTTCAGTGATACTCACCATGTCACTAATGATCTCAACAATCTGAAACTTCACAATATTGAATATATAGGACCTGAACAACTGCGAATAGGTAATGGTACAGGTTTGAATATACATCATATTGGCACCACTTCTCTCTCAAGTTTTGATAAAAATCTAGTTTTGCATGACACTCTTCATGTGCTAAATATTATTAAAAATCCTCTCTCTATTGCATACTTCACATCTGATAATGACGTGTTTCTTGAATTTCACCTTTCTCATGTGCTTGTAAAGGATCGAAAGTCAAAGAAGGTTATTCTTTAAGGCAGTCTTGATCGTGGGCTCTACAGATTCAGTCATGATGAACCGTTTCCTTAGGCATACATTGGTGAGAAGGCAACTCTCAGCACTTGGCATCATAGGTTGGGCCACCCCAACAACAACATCATGAAACACATCATTAAAAATAGTAATCTTCCAGTTGCATTCACGCCTCTCTTCTGTTCTACTTGTCAGCTTGGAAAGGGGCATCACTTACCTTCTGTTCCTAGTTCATTTCAGGCCTCAGGCCCATTAGACATTGTTTATTTAGATTTATGTGGACCAGCCCTAGTAGTTTCTCATTTTGACTATCACTATTATGTAAGTTTAATTGACTCTTTCAGTAGATTTACATGGATATTTCCAATTGTTCATAAGAGTGATGTGCCTTCAATATTCATTATGTTTCTCAATCAAGTTAAGCGTTTACTTAGCTGCAAACTTAAAGTCTTTCAAATTGATGGAGGGATTGAATACAAACACCTAAAACCATTCTTTGACACGCATGGAATCGTCCATCACACCTCTTGCCCACACACTCCTGAATAGAATGGATCTACTGAATGCAAGTACAGACATATTGTTGAAACTGGATTAACTTTATTGGCTCATGCATCTATTCCCAAAACATACTGGTATGAAGCATTTCACACGACAGTTCATCTAATCAATCGAACGCCAACAAAAGTTCTTCAACTTCAATCCCCATTGGAATGCCTCTTCTAGTGGAAACCAAATTTTTCCTCACTCAAGACTTTCAGGCGTGAATGTTTTCCTTACACTCGACCTTACACTTCTCATAAACTTGAGTTCCGAAGCACTCCATGCATCTTTCTTGGCTGCTGTGACAACTTCAAAGGATTTAAGTGCCTTCATATTCCCACCGGTAAGCTTTACATATCTTGGCATATTGTTTTTAATGAAGAAAAATTTCCATTTGCACAAGCTTCATCCCTTTCCCACTCATTGCCCCACTCTTTCACTGGACCACCACCTCTAGTCCCATGTTCTATTTGACATGGTACTTCATCTGAACCACCACCATCTGAATCCTTACCTACCCCTCTTCATACACCTTCATCCTGTACTCCTTCACCTGCATCATCCTCATTTAACCCATCATATTCTTCTCCTTCATCAACTCCTTCCCCTCCTAATCCCAAAACTCGACCCATTGTTGACCTCCTTATTGCCACTCAACCCCTTACCTCTCAAACCTCCAACCAACCTGCACCACCCCTCATCGTCACCACATGGTAACCCGCTCTCAAGCCAACCATGTCTCTCCTCATCTTCATCTTACAACAAAATACCCATTGCCTCTCGATGAGACTGAACCCAGGTTAGTCTCTCAAGCCATGTGTCTCCCTCATTGGCTAGCTGCTATGCAACATGAACTTGCTTCACTTCATGACAATCAAACCTGGACCTTGTGCCCCTCTCCCCCTAATGTCAATCAAGTTGGTTGCAAATGTATTTTTTGTTTAAAATGGAAAGCTGATGGAACTATAAACAAGTACAAAGCTCGCCTTGTATCTAAAGGATATATGCAATGAGAAGGTGTTGACTTTACAGATACTTTTAGTCCAGTTTTGAAGCCAGTCACTCTTTGGGTTATACTTCATCTTGCTCTTGCTAATGGGTGGTCCCTTCACCAGTTAGATGTGAATACAACATTCCTACATGATGAGCTACATGAAACAATCTACATGACCCAACCACCAAGCTTCATTGGTCAATCCAAACCCACACATGTCTGTCGCCTACATAAAGCACTATACGGGCTTAAACAAGCTCCAAGGGCTTGGTATCATAAACTTTTTGGTTTTCTACTACAATCTGGTTTCCATTGCTCAATGGCTGATTCATCATTATTTATCAAGCATTATTCTCACGGCATTCTCTTGGCACTTGTTTATGTTGATGATATAATAATCATCGGCCCGCATCTCCTGAGGTCACAAAGATGATATTTGAATTGGGGAAGGCTTTCTCTATCAAGGACTTGGGTCCTTTGCACTATTATCTTGGCATAGAGGTTACATACACTTAGTTAGCTCTTCATCTCTCTCAACACAAGTACATAGTGGATCTTCCTCACAAGTCAAACATGGCTGATGCTAAGCCCATCAATACCCCCATGTTTGCTCTCTCCTCTTTATCCAAGAACTCTGATACTCCACTCTCTAATCCCTCAGATTACAGAAAACTTGTTGGAGCTCTCCAATATGCCAGACTCACATGTCCAGAGATTGCATTCACTATCAACAAGCTATGCCAATTTCTTCACCAGCCCACTGAAGAACACCTTGTTATGCTAAAGCGTGTTTTACGCTACCTCAAAGGAACCTTAGATTATGGGTTGGTGTTCCACAAACACTTCCTTAGAGTTGCATGCTTACTCAGATGCCGATTGGATGGGCTGCCCTAACGATCAACACTCTCACAATGACTTTTGCATTTTTCTTGGGCCTAATTTGATTTCTTGGCTGTCCAAGAAACATGCCATTGTGCCGCGATCTAGTACGGAGTCTGAGTATAGAAGCCTTGTTATTGCCACCTCTGAATTACTTTGGCTTTGCTCTTTCTTTATTGAGCTGAAAATAACTTCACCTTGTCCGCCTACTCTTTGGTGTGACAACATTGGTGTGACCTATTTAACAACCAATTCTATGTTTCATGCACGAACAAAGCACATTGAGATAGACTTCCACTTCGTTCATGAACAAGTTGCTTGTTGTCACCTTTAGGTTTAGTACATCAGCACCACTGATCAGTTGGCTAACATCCTCACTAAACCTCTTCTGGGTCCACGGTTCAGCATGCTGTGAGACAAGTTAAAAGTGAAGTCTTCACCTTCAACTTGCGGGGGGATGTTAGTCAACCAATCTGATAAGGATGATTAGTGTTTGAGTTTATCTCAAATACTAACCACTTGTTGTTGTAGATAATATCATTATCTCTATATCTCTGTCTTTATCTTCTTTGTATCTTATTCCCTATAATATGCAACTGCTTTTATCCTTCTTGATGTATATATACCTCTGTCAAGTTTAGTGAATAAAACAATTCATTCGACCAACTCTTTTAGTAGTACCAGAATGCCAGCCTATCACTCCAAACCACATAGCTTGAGAAAAGGCACAAGATAAGAACAAATGGTCCACTGTTTCTATATCTACATTACAGAAGACACAATGATGATCCACATATTCACCCCACCACCTATTCTTGGTGAGCACCACTCCTTCAAATAATTTCCAAAGAAATAGATGTAGACGGGGATAGATTTTAGCTTTCCAAAATTTCACCAAATGGCCCATTCCTTCAACTCTAGAAAAAACTTGCATAACTAACATTGTACAACAACATTTAATAGTGAATTTTTCACCTCCTTGTTTCTTCACCCAAAACCACTCATTCCCCTGCGTAGTGAAGTACAATATTAACAGTTGTCAAGTTTGGGTGTGAGTAATTGTTCAACTATACAAAAAGTTGTGGAACTCAAACGCAACATGTCAGTGAATGAGGTTTCAAGGCTATGAATACCTGATTTCTTGGTTGCTCTATTCTTCATCCTACATACAAGATTTAAAAGAAGGTCAATAGACAACATAAAAATCAACCATTACATCATAGGTAAAATGTGAACTTGATAACCCAATCTGTCTGACTAGTGGTGCAATAGGTGGATACTACAACCCTACTCTACCACCTCTCCTTTGTTTATTAGATTGCAAATAGAAAGGGTAGAATTAGTAAAAATATTATAGTTGGCATAAGAGCCATGTTGGTTAGTTCATCCTAGAAGTGAAGTGACAAGCCTATCTAGTTGATGTAGTAGCTTGTATATCCTGGTGCCTCAAACACCTTCTACCACCACAAGTTGGATTGACAACCCTTCTTGAAAACAAAGAACCAACTTCATATGTGGATGTAATATGAGTGGCTGGAGACGAGGAACCTACACCATGTGTACTTACATTTCCTCTTCTTACACAAACAACTCCCCCTCTAATTGAGCGGAGGGTTTAGGCTAGTCAAGCACTGGCCTTTAGACCTGTCATGTAATTAAACATATAGTTAGTATGTAGAAGATAAAGTATTGGATATAAGAATTCATATGAGATGTTTGTATAAGTTTACCTCCTGGGTTCTACTACTGGTATTGGGTGGAGGAGCACGGAAGTTCCTTTTATTGTGTCCAATGACACTACATATGGAGCACCTAACTGTCTTACATTCATATGGGGCACGATGTGATGGACTTGCTTTATCTTCTTCTCTTCTCCTACTGAGTGGAGGTTGATTTGGCCCTAACTCTCCTGACTATTGGGGGTCTAACTGGATGATTAATTACATGTTTTCAATATTTTTGTTAAGGAAGAGCATGAACAAAGTGTCTATAGACCCTAGCATAAGTGGCCTTATGGAAGGCTACATCAAACAAGTCCTGAATTGATCCCCTTGTTTAGGTGAGAACTTCTAGTGTATGAGCATAGGGGATGCCACTAATGTCCCATACCCTCCATGTGCATGTCTTTGAGTCCATCTTAGTGACATAGTCAACCATGTCAGCCCCTAATGTTTGATACTCATACTATTAGGACTAGAAAACTCTAAAATATCTACAATTGCATTATATGATAGTGATCATTTACACTAAAATGTTTACTACAAGAAAACAAACATAAGGATATATGCAAGTTAGATATTACCTGGCTTCTCTCCTTCTCCTATAAATGATTGTTTGCACCTTTTATAGTAGCTTAGCATTGGGTGCATTGGCAAACTCATGTCTTTCATAGATCTTTCGCATTCATCTTTTCTAGATTCCTCCAACATCTCAACAATTGACATTGTCCTGACATCTTCAATCCATGAGTTGAAAGACTCTGTCTAGTTATTTGTTATGTCATTTAACTTAGCAATAGGATCAAACCCATGTCTAGACCATGTCTCTGGAGGGACTCTGTAAAGGAAATCATATGCATCCTTTGATA